ATTTGTAATAAAGGTTGTGAATAAATATGTTCTTGACGGAATATTACACTTTTAATGCGAAAACATGATTTGGGAGTAGTTAGAATAATGCCCTACCTTAGGATAGATGACTCTATGGCTATTATTGAGTAAAGTGAGTGATGTATTGTACAACTGGGCTGAGTCCGGAGGTGTCCGACCTCCAGCATCTTGTATTGATTGTGTGACGTGTGAACTTGTGTGATGAATTTCTGTGTTGGACGAATATTTAATAATGATTAAGGTATGTTGAGATTAGTTGATGATGCTTGCATGATGAATGACATGATTATTGTATATGTGTTGTTTAATAGTGGAAGTATGCCGAATGAGTGAACCGGTGACATAAATGCAAGTGTGTGTGAGCATGTCGATGATTGAATAAAGCAAATGGTTAGAAATAGGTGTAGATGACATATTGAATGTTGTTGAAAATGAATATAGGTTGTGTACCGTGTGTTGTGACTGAATGTGGGCATTGTGTTGTATGGAATATGAATGTAAATGAAATGTTAAAAAGAGTAATTGTAATACGGGAGTCAGTATAGATGAATGGACGTAATTGTAATACAGATATTGTAATATGATCCAAAAAACATACTCATAATATATGTATTATAATACACCAAATTATTTGGTTAAGGCTCACATATTATGACTCGTTGCTCTACAAAAGAGTTAGAAGGAATGAGAAATGTTTAGATAGCTATAGTGATACAAATGGAGTATAGAGTTCAAAGAAGATTTGAGAAATCTTAGGAAAATAAAGGTGGTGAATGCTTGTGTGGATAGTGCACAACAATTTGCTGAAAATAAAAGCATTCACAAGCCACACACTCATTTCCTGACGAGACTCCTGACTATACTTTTGCTAAAAGGGGCTGGGTCGGCACACGTATATCTATGTTGCTGCGGCTAACTGACAGCTATCTAAGTTGTGAAGTCCTTAAGGGATCTCAAGGGCATTGAATGTAAATGTGGAAAGAATGTGAAAGGGTGATGTACATGAGATAGTATAGAAATGGTGCAGTTGGAATATACGCATTGTGCCATGATGGTTGATGTTATCACAATACATGTATTGTAATACATCGATGAGTGTGATTGGGACACATGTGTGGTGACATATCAATTGACGTGGTGTAAAACATGTATTGTGATGTGCATGATAGTAAACAGATGTATGTTATGAAAATTAGCGAATATGATTGGTTGTTTATCTTGCGTGTATTATTCTGTGATAGTAAAACGTATAATTTAAGTGTTATTGTGAATTAATCCCTGTTAATTGGTGTTATTAAGTACTGTCTATACATGTGAGTATTTATTTATGTTAAACCAAAGATTTAGTGGGACGGGAGATACTCACCCTTACTAATATTTTCAAATGATGGATGTCAAGAGAGAAAGGTGTCCGCCCGTCCTAGAATCATGGTCCAAGGATATTGAAGGGAAGGCTACTCTGTAGAGATTAGAAATGTTTGAGAAATTGTGCTATTTTATTCAAATTATAATTTGTGATAACTAAATTGTATAAAGGATTTTAAAGACCAGATTTAGAATTCATGGTACTTGGGTCAATTTCGTTGAAATTATTTCATTATCGTCCTTAGTAAAAATTCTAATTTTATATGTATTCGTAGTGAGCTACATGTTTTGTTAAAAATAAAGTTAAATTTTATCTAATTATCTCAAGTTTCAAAATTTTACCCTTGGAATAATATGAAACTTTGTTAGAAGAAATTTATAAATTTTGTTATTATGTTACTATGGAGTTTGAGAGTGAAACTAAAGTGAATTATTTTCTATTCTCATAAAAGTTTATTCATTTAAATAAAGAAAATGAAAGTGTTACAATGAGAGGATGAAATGAGTCTATAACAGGAAGATTAAAAAGCTAGAGTTAAAAAAATTGAATTGTTGAGGTGATGAATAGAGAAGGTGATGAAGAGAAGAAAGAGAGCATGCATGTACCAACTTAGGTTCCCATCCTTGCAAACTCGAGTGATTCCATGATGATGATAACAATGAGGAGATTATTTAGTGAAGTGGTGGTGAGATAGAGTGCTAGGGTCAATGTTCTCCAAGAGTCTAAGTGGAAAATGGTGGAGTTGAGAGAATGAATGAGTTTGTGAGTGTGAGAGTGGCGAGAAAGAGAGGATTAGTAGAGGGGATGGGGTGAATAAAAATGTGGTCCAAAATCTTGAATCTATACAATTTCTAATTTAGTCTCTTAGTACCCAAACACTCACCTATAGCACTTCATTCTAATTGTCCTATTTTAATTCTTGTTATTCATTTATTGTTAATAAAAAATCCATTAAGTTTTGGAGGACTAAATTATGGAATGTTACATTTCTCATTTTAAGTCATCAAAAAATTAATTTATTAATTACATTAAAACATTCTACTTTACTAATGCACCAATTTGTAACATAAGCATGTAAGTTTTTTTATTTATGCATTATAATGCATTAAACGTGTTACTTTAATAAATTTTGATAAATTAACTGATTTGTAACATGAATTTGCGAATTTTTTTTTACCTATAATGATTTATATGTTCTTAGCCTTCATACAATATAAATTTATTTTAAAAATAAGTTATGTTTCATTTTTAATTAATTAAATAATTATTTTACTAATTAATCAAAATATATTAATTTTTCTCTTTTAAATACTTTTTCTTTTATTAATCAAACAATTGATTCATTGTTAATTATTATTTATTTACTTTATTATCATAATAATTTTATAACATTAATACATATCATTTTAACTTTTATATGTTTTGAAGAAATAAGAGTCTACACGTAACTGTATTATCTTACATCTTGTATAACTTAAAATTATTTTTTAAAATTATATTATATTTTTCATTTAATTAATTAAAAAATAAGTACTTAACCATTTAAAATTATTATTTTTGTTCATGAAATGCTTTATAATAATGAGGTGTAATTTACATTGTCATTTGTTGTTAGTATGCTAGCTTATATTTTATATAATGCAATATTTTAATATATTTTTTTAAAATTTGCAACAGCTTGCAATATAAATATATAGTCTTTTACTTTCTAACATTGGTTATTGTTAGACTATAAGTATAGATGTGACCTAATCCTATATATTTTACAAATATATTTATATAAAATAAAAACAAAAATTACCTTAAAAATGTCTTTTAAATTCTTATAAAATCTAAATTAATTACAAAAATTTATCATTTAAATATAACTATGTATATTTAATTTTTCCATTACATAGGACATGTAGGTCCAAGAACTAGATCTATAAGTAGGGATAGAAGTAGGTTAAGTTATCTTTATCCTACAACTTGACTTATTTAAAAATTTGACTTTTGTCTAACCTATTTAAATAATGGAGAAAGATCTTCTCATACTAGTATAAGTCTAAAAATTCTTATACTTGATCTGAACTTTTCATTTAACTTACATTTAACGATCAGTGAAGTAATAAATTAAAACTTGTTAGATGTGAGTTAAATAAAAGATTCAGATCGAGTGTAAGAATTTTTAAACTTATACTAGTATGAGAATATCTTACCCTTTAAATAATAGATTAAATTTAAGCTTTTTGAAAAATTTTATTGCTAGGAATCAAAACAACATGAAAGACATTTAATGAATTCTAGAAATAAAAATGACTTTGAAATTTAGAGATTTTTTTTTTTGAAATATAAAAAAAAATGAGTAAAAAGATTTAAGTTTTCTTTGTTGGAGAAATGAGAAGGGAAAAGACAAAGCATTGCATAAATAATAATAATAATAATAATAATAATAATAATAATAATAATAATAATAATAATAATAATAATAATAATAATGTATCTATACACTTCCTCTAATAATAATGAAGAAAATGGTAAGGTTTTTGTTTTTGGAAGGAGCATAAGGATAATTTGCTTCACACAAGATAAATTGAAAATAACAATATAGAAAGAAAAGAAAAAAGTAAGAACGGATGAAGTTTTTGTGTTGTTTGTTGAATATAAAAGGGAAAAGGGGGAAAATAAAAAAAATTCATTTTTGTTTAAAAATAAAAGTGTGAGAAAATATTTTTTTTCAAACGACAAAATTACCCATAACCAATATTTGCCCATTTTTACAATTTTTTTGTTAAAAAATTATGTAGTTTATTTTTTTAAAAGAAAGTTATTTTTCGTTATTTATTTAGGTAGCAAATTGAAAAGATAAAAATATCACATTTATCCTCAATAACTCTATTGTTATTACTGTGCATCATGGGTTCTCAGTAACAGCATGTTACAACGAAACATTACTTGAAAAAAGAATAAAAAGAGAAAACAAAATAAAAAAAGTATAGATAAAATGTTGCATGAAATGTGGAATATATAATCTTAAAATTCCCCTTCCAATTTTAATAAGCGTTGACCCATTTATTTATGTTCAAGACAATAGTTTCTTGTTTCATTTTATGAAAAATGTTAGTAATGTATTTTTTTATTGACTAAAATTTATAAAAATAAAAATAAAAAATACGCGACTTCTATTTTTAACTTAATAATTTTCGTTCAAACTTTTGTAATTTTAATCAATGTTAACTAATAATGAAAAACGTGTTAAAAAAAATCATTCCATGTGTAACAATAGATTTCGTTCAAACTTTCAAAATGATTTATAGCTCTCATTAATTTTTTTTATAAGTGTATTAAATTATTTTTTTTGAAATTAATTTTAACAAATTTCTTAATAAAATTTGACATAAATTCTTATGAAATATTTTTTTAAAATAAATATTTAATGAAATTATTAAGTTATTTATATAAAGGATTGCTAACATAAGAAATATATTTAACTAAGTTTTTTATTCACTGTGGAAAATTTATGAGATTGATTGCTTTAATTGAATGATTAGAAAAACACATTATAGATGTTCTTTAGAAGATATCGGCCCAATCAGAAATAAAAACTGATAAACGTGAGCATAATAATAAATAATATATCTATACATTATGTTTTATTTATCAGTCTCTTATTTTTGTTTTTTGGTCCACTCAGTCTCATATTTAAATGATAGTAAGCTAATAGAAAACGAGAGGGGGAAGGAAAGGAGCATGGGGTCAGCCCTAAGAGCAGACACCATTTCTAACAAAAACAAGTCCAACATTCCCTCAGAATTTCGTCAGCTCACAAATGGTAGGACACATCGCCACACATTTGCAAACAAATTAAACAAATTATTAAATTAGTCTTCTTGGGTACACCTGGTCATTTGAAGGGTACTGGAAGACCTGTCATAAATAGAAACTACGGACACTATCAGATATATTAAGTTATTATAAGATAGGTAAGATTCACTTCATGCTACTCATATAGCAAGTGTCCATAATAAAACTGGAATTTGCAAGCTGGTCCTCTAGCAAGATGTTTTGAACTAGCACCCTCCATGGCGTGAGCCAAATGAGAATGCAGAATCACCAAGAAGCAAGACCCTCACCTAGTTTAAGGAAAAGTGCATAAAAGCATCTTGAAACCCAGCTCAGTTCTACATTGCTGGGCATAAAAGCATAAGTGCGGAACACTAACAAAAGAGCACTACCCTACAAGTCACCAACATTTTATTCTTTGAAATTTTAAAAACTTTCTATCAATCTTTAATTTACAAAATAAAATTCATTTCAGTATTTTTTTAAACTTATTTCTAAGTGCACTTTGCATTAAAAAAAGATTAAAATAATCAATGACTTGAAAAGTCAAAGATTAAAAAGATTTTTAAAATTATGAAGACTAAAACGCTTCGCCCCAAAGAATTTGGAATATCAATTGAGGTTTACTCTAAAAAATCATATGGTACATTCCGGATATTAAAATCCTGCCAAGCTTTGGAATTAGGTAAGAAATATAAGAGAAGAATTGAAAGGTCACAAATGCTAGTGAACAGTTTATGAACAACACTTACAAGGACCCTCTTCTCTTTTCTTCCCTGGCTCTGTGACCCCTGTCCCATACTCCACCAACGTTTTTTCATGTCACATACTTTTTTGGGAACAGATGCATCAGTATATGATAGCAACCATTACAAATCGAAGCTTGAGTCACCTTTGGGGGGTATCCCAATCAAATCTGGGCTGCGAAAACACCTCATAATCAATGGGCCTAGTATCCACAACGTTATCAACCGTTTGAATGCCCTCCAAAAGTGTTGGTTGAAAACTATCATTACTGGAAGGCAGTAATTTATACATGACTAACAATCCAAGAGTGAATATAGCTTGCAGCTTCGTAGAGTCTCCCTGAACTGAGAAGAATAGGAGCATAGCAAGTAAGAATAGATCAACACAGAAACGCATGATGCATATTACAGTATCTATTAACCTCCCATCATTGCCTGCAGGAAAACCCCTAACTCGATACACGAACAGAAAATTGTACTTGTCAACCACATATCTATACCCAAAATAAACTGCACCAACAGGGACCACAAGGGGATTAAATGAACAGTACACTAGAGTGAGGGCAAATATTGTCAAATTAAAGGCATAATACTGTGCAAAATCGAATGTCTGTTTTGGTGCAGGAGAGCTTCCAGTGATTGGATAGACAAAAAGATCTTGCCCTTCTAGATTATCCCCATTGGAAATTTCATAAGCATTATCTTGCATCAGTGGTCTGTGGAGACTATCTGCGCCCTGATGTTCTAATGGGTATTCTTCACTTTGTTCTGGCACTAACTGAAGCATGTCATTCTTCCGAAACTTTTGAATGTTTCTTTTAATCCAAGGAACAGGTGCCAAGAGATCATATGAAATGCCCAAGAAAGTGCTTGTGATCAGAAATGCAAGAGAGGAAAGGCATGACTTTGACAGGAAAGACGCGCTCATATATTGCTCAATCCTCTTGCAATCTTCTCCATCCAAGTAGCACCGTCCCATCTTCAGGATGGTACTCTCTAATGATGATTCTACAAGACCCCTCAAGAGAATAAGATTTACAAGGAAGAAGCAAACCATCTTCAATAGTGCAGCTCGTTGCTCTCCAGACACTGTCAAATGACGTTCAAATTTCGAAAGATATGAAAGAACTGATGGGATCACTATGTACATACTAACAAATATAATAACATTAGGTAAGAATTGAAAAAAAAGGCTAGCAAGCCAGCTAGAGCTTTGCATCCATGCCAACCACAGCTGAGCATTATCCATAGCTTCAGCATTGATAATCCTTCCAGCACTCTTAACAGCACTGATCACAGCAAGCGGGGAACTAAAGAATAAGAGCATCAACAACAAGCAAGTATTCACAAACCCTCTTCGCAACTTCAGCGACAGCCTCGGCGTCCCCATATTCTTCCAATAAATGTCACTTGCCAATGGGGCACGCTCAACCTTCCACTGGTTCCTCCGCAATCGCAACTCCATGAGCGAAAAGAACTTCCCAATTCTTCTCCTCTTCTCATTCTGAAAATCCTGAACAGCCTTATTAGCAGTATACACATCCCTGAACATAACAAAAGCAACACCGGCACCCGGTCCACGGCCTTCTTTATAATCAGCCAACTCACTCTCCAACTCAGCCCTCAGCTCCTGCAACTTCCTCAACCTCTCTTCATCACTGAAACCAAACCTAGCCATAACATCAGCACAAACACCCTTCAACCATTTCCAACAACAAACCACCGAACCCCACACTCCCTGTCGCGCATTGCCACCTTCATCATCCCACTCCGGCAGATGCCGAGAGCCAATCCTGGCCACCAACCACGAAATCTCGTCCCTCACACGCAACAATTCGTTGGCCAAATCATCCAAAGCACACAAATCCATAGGTACAATAACCTTATAAACCTTCCCTGGATACCTATACTGAAAATACTCATGCAAAACGACCCTATCAGCGCCTATAATTTTGGGCAAACCCTGAACCATTATAGTGAATATAGCGGTGGAATTCGCGGTTGGATCGCTCAAATTACCGTACCCATCCCTAAACCTAGTAATCCTCAAACGCTCTTCGGTTGCGGAAATGCCGAAATGGACCAAAACGACGACGACCAGGGTGAAGACGAAGTGGACCCAAAGCAGAGCGGAACCTTTATCGATGTGAGTGATCGTCGTTTTGGAGAATTGGTCATCCAAAACGGCGGTGCCGGCGTAGAGGTTAAGCGGGAGGAGCGCGATCACGGCGAGCACCGCCATCGCGAGGAGGACCGCGCAGCTGCCGCCCTCGATGAGGAGGAATTGCGCGGCGTCGGCGCCGCAGTGGCGGGCTATTTCGCGTCCGGTGGCGTGCCACACGGCGAGGAGCTTGGAGGCGATGGCGGTGGGGCCCGGCATGCTGCGGTGGTCGCTGCGGAGCTTCACGAAGAGGAAAATCAGGAGGCAGCACGCGGCGCCGATCGCCGAGATGTTCAGAAGGTAGTCTATGTTGCCGTACCAGGCGCCGAACGGGTCGCCGTCGTCGCCGGAAGACGGCGGGGGAGGAAGGGGGTCTCCCATGGTTCCGGCGGGGGAGAAATCAGGGTTTATGGAACCGAAATTTGTAAAATTATAGGGATTTTGCGGATAATTGAGTCCGATTCGGACTCAAATTTCTTCATGCATTCGGTAGCGAAGGAATTTGAAGAAACGTGTTAGGGTTAGGGTTGTGAGGAAAACTGATGATGGAAGAAACAAGAAGGGAACAGAGGAAGCGATAGCCAAGCTGGACATACATGGAATTTCAATTTTTCTTTTCTTTCTATCACTATTCTTTTATTTTTCTGTTTTTATTCTTGCTCTGCTGCCAACGTCCCGAAGAGGATAACTGTTTTTCTTCTTTTTTTAATGTTTAGGACTTACAAGATGTATTAATGTTAAAGGACGTTAAAAAATAAGAAGCATAAGATGGATTCCACAGTTCATTTAGAAATAAGCAAGATTAACTATAGCTAATGCTATAAGTATGTCATTATTATAAGTTAATTTTTGTAAATAATAATAAATGTATTAGTAATTTATCTTTATTATATGACTAATTAAAATTTTCATTTTTAATGTTCGGAAGAATTTTTCAAATGGTTGTCACTGGTTATTTTCAAATTGACAGTTTGTTTTTCTTACACTTTTTTTTATATTCAAATTGGAAGTTTGACCAAATAAATATAATTTTATAAATTATTTACTGAAATAATGTGAAAAAAATAATTATGCAGAATTTTATTAGTGTGAAGGTAGATAGGTTATATAATAAAAATATTGGAATCGTGTACATTATTCTAATACCCTCACATGATGTATGCGTACTAGTGTAATACGTATGATAAAATGAAATTCAAATTAATATAAATAATTTTTCTTTTACACTAATTTAATAATTAATTGGATTAAACAAGTTATTAATCTAAAAATATTACAGTTTTATTATTTTAGTTTATATAGAATTTTATCTGATTTTAATCTTTATATTTAATAAAAATGCATAATTTAATTCATAATAAAGGACTGAAAATTATTTTTTCCTGTAGTTTTTAGTAATTAAAATGAAATATTAATAACTAATTTAAATTTATTGAGTTTTATAAATTATATGTATTTAATCAAACTACACATTTATTCACATTAAATGACTATTACAATTTTGAGTGGCTATTTATTTCAATGATTGACAATACGTGAATACCTAATTTTATCCGGGTCCCCTCTTAAAATAAATAAATAAATAATAAAAATAAAAAAATTTAGATAAGAGATTAAAATTTCAAATTTCAAATTTTAAATTTTAAATATGTAGATATTTAGGTTAGTGAGTAGATTTTAAGGGAAGTGAATGAGATGTTTAAGGAAATGTGAGAGGTGGCTATCAAAAAAATAAGAAAGTGGAATTTTTTTTTAATAAAAAGAATAAAATATAAATTAATTAAATAAGACCTAAGGTTAGGAGGTGTGGCTATAAATAGGAAGTTTAGGTCTTTAAAAGGGAGCTTTTACATTTCATATTTTTATGTGACACTTTGAAAGCATAGAGAAAAAAAAAAGAGAGAATTCTAGAGAGAGAGAGCTTGGAAAACGAAGAAAAAGAAGAGAAAGTTAAAAAGAAATCAACCGAGAGCATACCAAAGTGCACCCGAGGTCAACAAAGAGAGTAAACCGAAAGAGTTAAAGGTTAAAGCTAACAAAATTCTTATTCTTCGAATCAAGTAAGATTTCCTTTTGTTGCTTATTCTTCCTCTATTATTTGCTCTTGTTTCTGCTTGTATATTTTTTTGTTATATTAAAAGTCTTGAATTTTGTTTCTAAATGAAATACCTCTGCATCTATTATATTGTTCTAATTTCTTCCTTCTGTTCATAATTAAAAGTCTAAATCTTTATTTCTAAACAAAAATCTCTTTGTTTTTATTATGTGTACTTTGCTTGCATCTCTATCTTTTCCTTATTTGGTTAGTTCACATTGAATGTATCACTTTTTTTAGATAAAGATTGTCCTTTTTTTTTTGCAAACCCTAGTCTTTGCGAACCCTAAAAAATTCTAAAAAAAAACAAGCATTGTTTGCTTTGCCTTTTGCCAACCCTAAAGCATTTTCTACCCAAAAGTGTCCTTTTTTACAAACCCTAAAAATAATTTTTTTTTGAAAAATCTCAAGTATTCCTTTTTTACAGACCCTAAACATTTTTATTTTTACCTTAAAAGTATCTTTTTGCAAACCCTAAAGCATGTTCTACCTAAAAGTATTATTTTTTTTTTAAATCCTAAAAATAAATTTTTAAAAATCTCAAGTATTCCTTTTTTACAAAAACAAAAAAAAAGAACCTTTTTTAAACCCTAACCATTTCACAAATTATAAAAGTCTAAATTTTTCAAACCCTAAAAATTATTTCTTTCTTTGTAAATCTTAAAAATTTCAATTTCTTTACAAATTCCAAAAAAAAAAAACTAATTCCTAGATCAAACAATAATTATTTTCTTGTTATTTTGTTTACTCTTGTGTTTGTTTTTATTGTTTTATATATTTCTCGTTTATTTCATATTGTATATATATAAAAAAAATCCAATATCGATAAGATATTTTTAGTTATATATATATATATAAAAGAGATTTTTAAATCCACGCAACAGCCAAGTAATTTTGATAGAGTGGTGGATCCACCTTCAACATTGCTTGGATCGTAAGGGTTTATTGAGTAGTCGTGTACTAACTTGAACCCCGTGCAAGAGTGAATTTAAAAAAAAATAATAATAATAAAGTGAAAATCAAGCTAAAAAAAAATTAACACTTTTGAAACTCTTTCAAACCTAATTTTCAAAAAAACTACGTGACAACTTTGATTCTTCTGTTGCATACGGGAGATACGTAGGAGTGAGAACTTGACCCGTCAAATCTAAAAAAAATTTATTTTTTTGTTTAAATTATTTTAAATTTTTTTTACTATGAGCAATTCAAAATAATACAAAAGGAAAACAAAATTTCTATGTTTATTTAAAAAGGGGAATAAGTAAATAAAATAAAAATATATTTTAAGATTATTTTCATTAATGCCAAAAATGTAAAAAAAAAAAGGAGAGGGGGCAATAAGAACCTATGATTAATCCCTTCTCTCGATTCAAATTAAAATTTTATGTTTCTTTATAAAAAAAAATATTTACTAAAAAAAATAAAGTTAAATTTTATTTAATATGAAAAAGAAAAAATGAATAATATTCTATAAATAATCCATCCTAATTTAAATTAATTTTTTTAATTCTCTATTAAAATAAAAATAAATAAATTTCTACTTAAAAAAAAAAGGGGAGAGAAAATTAAATTAAATTTTGTTTAAATTTATCCAATTCAAAAAATAAAAAAGAGAATAATATTTTGTAAATAATTCATTTTCCCAATTAAAACTAAATTCTTTAGTTCTTTACAAAAAAAAGTATGCAAAAAATGAATTTTTACTTAAGAATAAAAAAAATCAGGTTGATTTTTATTCAAATTTATTTAATATGATAATAAAAAAGTAATATTTTATAAATATTTCACTCTCTCAATTAGATTTTTAGCTCACTATTTTAAAAAAAAATCTTACTTTAAGAAAAATAAAAAAAATCATATTATATTTTATTTAAATTTATTTAATACAAAAATAAAAAGAAAAATAGTATTTTTGATTTATTTATTTATTTAATATGATAATAAAAAAATAATATTTTATAAATATTTCACTTTCTCTATTAGATTTTTAGCTCATTGTTCAAAAATGAAAAAATACAAAAAAGAAAAAAGGAAAATCTTACTTTAAGAAAAATAAAAAAAATCATGTCATATTTTATTTAAATTTATTTAATACGAAAAAAAAAGAAAAATAGTATTTTTTTATATATATTCATTTCTTTAATTCAACTTTTTTTGTTGTATTTCTAAAAAATATATAAAATTAAAACTAAAAAAAATTGTTAAAAATAAAAAAATAAAAGAAAAATCAGAAAATAAAAAAAACATCAATAATTTTCTTTAAAAAATGAAATAAATAATGTTTAAAGTTGAAATAATTTTTGCACAATTAGTTAGAAAGTAACCGTTTTAATCAACGGACGTCGTACGGTGCTAATACCTTCTCTAAATATCTTCTATATGTGTAAACGACATTTGAGCCTAAACATGATTTCGAAGATTATTTTATTAAAAGTTTTTTCAATGTTTTTCTTTAATAAATTTTGGTGGCGACTTCTTATCATCGTCGTCCTGTCGTGTCTCTGATTGTGACACAATAAATAACTAATAAAGAGTTGAAAATACAGATGTATGAAGTTTAAAAAAATAATAATAAAATTTTCTTGAATGGGCCTAAGGATTACTTACAAAAAAAACAAAAACATATTAAACATTTTACTCTTCCTTGCAAATAACTATGGCTTTTTATTGAATGGTTTCCCACAAATAATTACCTTGAATGATTATTTGTTCTCATTAACTAATTAATATTCTAAATGTAAAATTAAGAGTCTAATTAAAGGCCCAGAATGAAATAAAATAATTGAAGGCCCTGAACAGAGACAAACTCAGGTAGACGAGTGTTTGGTTCATCCAGCTCGACAAGCACACCAAAAAAATAGAAAAAAAAGACAAGCACATGAAGATGGAGTTGCAGCGTTGTCTTATAAATGATAAAATACTTTTTATTTCAAGATTATCACAATTCGCTTGCCATAAACCCAAATCAAATTTCTGGTAGTGGCAGTGATTGTTACATAAGAGTGAAAACGTGTTTAAATTTGCATTTAATTGTACTCATATTTATTTTATCATTAATAATTATAATTTTTGTGCTAAATTTATGTTTACGTAATTTACAACGTCAATTCAACGTACTACCAAGTGTAGTGCTTAAAAAAGAGGATAGTAGAGAAACATAATTCAGCACTTATAAAACAAATGGAGAAGAGAACGTAGCATGAAATAAAAAAGGAGAGCAAGAGATGTAGGATCAGAACAAAAAAATATTCTCGTTAAGGGTATTTTTATCCCAAGTTAAGTAATTTTGATGATTTTTTAATTATAACAATTATTATATTTCATGAGTGGCTACAATATCAATATTAAAAGGTGAGAAATGTATATTCCTTTTTTTTTTTATAAAAATATATATATAATTAATTTATCAAAATTAATAAAAAAATAACTATTTTAAAATATTTATAATAATAAAGTATCATATTAACAAATTACGAATAAATATATACAAGTAGCTTAAATACTATATCAACATAAATCTTATCATAAATAAATATATAAAAATAAATTAATAATTAACATATTTAAAAATAATTTTTTATTAAAGTAAAAGTAATTATTTTTTATATAAAAAAACGAAAGAGTTTATTTGAGGGTTGTTTTAACAATTTAAAAAAAAAAAAACCGTGTCTTTACCAACACGCCACTTGCTTAAGCTGAACAATCTTTGTTGTTCCCAACACTTGCTATTGCCACTTGTCCTCCTTCCACTGTCCTCATGTGACCATTTGCTTGTCTTCTCCCTTACGGCCAAGCTTAACGCGTTTAAATTTGAGTGGCTGAGACCATGTAGTCTCAAAACATACAATAATTCTCTCCATTTAACTTAAACTTTATTTTATTTTTACATTTAGGGTGTGAAACCAATATTTTTGTGGACTTTAAGAAATATTAAAGGTCTTTCCTAAATATTTATGTCTAACTAATAGAATTTAGACTACTTAATTTAATTCAATGAATTACAAAGTATATTGGATAGTTGATTATATATCCTGTAACAAATGGTGATCTAATCCTACTCATCTATTAAATTTTTATTTTTATAATTTGATGAGTTGGTTGAATTTATACGAGTGAATTAGATAGGTTAATGGATTGAGTTGTCACCTCTAGCAAAGACATCAACCACCACCTTCTCTACCTTTGGCCCAAGGGTGGTTGGAGAAGCGATGAAAATTGCAATGATGATCTAAATCAGAGAGGAATCATAGATAATGGAGCTTGGTGCAGAATTGTAGAATGGTCATGGTTTGCCATCTTGAAGTGTCCAAAGAATTGAGGAATGGATCAGATCTTTACTAACATAAACTTCACTTTTACGTGGAGTGGGATATCATTATATTAACATTTAATTCTTGGGGTCCTGTGAAAAAAATAATGAAAAATGAATGGACGGAATCCAAAAGTGAAAGAGGGAGAATGAGAGTTCTACGAAAAGGCAAGACGACAACAATTGCACCATTAACGATGGTGACAAGTAACTAGATGGCATTGATGGAGTAGATTTTTTGGATGAAGGACCACAAATAGTTTGGGAGTCTCGAGCATCCTCAAGTACATAAGCCTTGCCCTACTCTCCAAATATGCTTTTTTTTTCCAAATGGTTGGTTCCATATCTTTTGACAAGGATTATCGACTGAGAAAATTGTACAAATGCTGAGGAAATGCTAGATTTTTTAATTTATGTTCTTGATGAATCAAAAGGTAATGCCATAACTAAAAAGTAGTTCTATGCGATATTTTTGTGATGGAATATAGAGCCTAACGATGAATTAATTCAATTAACTAGGAAACAAGCAACAAAAAGACCTTGAGTTGTCTCAAACAAAATTTGGTTGCAAGAATTGAATCTCGAATCCATTTAACTTCCGCTTCTGATGCACCGGACCATATAGTTGGCGAGGAAAATTAGGAGAGATGGATTTGTGTTATTGAAACAATAGCAAGAAGGAGTTGAGAGAGTGAAGCATAGAATTTGAAAAAAATGAAGAGAATGAACCCATGAAGCTCTGATGCATTATAATTTTTCATCTTTATGGAAGATGCCAATTGAGAAGAGACGAGACATTTGGGGAGAAAGTGAAGGAAACAAGATTTTTGTTGTTCAGAGGGATATGAAGTAGTGTTCAATGAAACCTTACAATGGCTGCGACTTGAACTACTACTTTTAGTTTCCAAATGTATATTTCTATGTTGAAGATAACAGGGATCAACAAAAAAATGGCTACAAGCAATTATAGAAACCCATAAGAAACTAAAAAGTGAATTCTAGATCACACGCTGATAAATTAGATATTGGGTCCAAAGGGATTACAAGTGAGAATGGTTTCATTCTTTTTCTCCATCTTAAATTGCTTTATCTTTTGAAGTTTTCTCCAATGAAAAATACCGTGCATGATGGAGGAGTATATAATTCATATATGTTTCAATTTCAAGTGCTCATACATTTGAAAGAGCTCGTTGCTCTTCATCGCATAGATTACACCTCAACGGTGGACTAACCTCATCAGTTTTGATCTAATCACTTATCACCCTTCAATAAGAACAATTACTCCACTTTCAGAATTTGCTTGAGTGGTCAAGAAACCGACAACCAGCAATTGTAGGCAAATTGGTGAGAACATTGTTTTTTTTTTTTTTTTTTTAAATTATTATTTTTAAAAATAGTTCGATATTTTATTAAAATATAAAATTACATGTCATCCATACAATTAGTATCAATGCCTCTTAGTACGACATAGCAGTACTAGGTATGAGAATTAGATTTGAACATGTGGATACCTATCTAACCCCAACCCATCTTAGACGAAAAAAGCTCTTTTAAATAGGTTTGAGCATGTGTTTTCTTCAGTTTGAAAAAATGGTTGCAAGTGCGGGTTAAAGGATATAATTTGATATAGTGTATCCATATTCAAAATTTCAATCCAATGGATATTTAAACAAATTTCAAGTAATAATACACATGTATTTTAATGATCAAAGTAGATGTAGGTACTAAAAAAGGTATTTAAATAATGTAATAATAACATATAATGAAATTTTATTGAGAAATACTTGTCAAGTTCTTGAAATCGGAAACTTTTCATCCGCTATTGTCGGTTAATTATGATGTTAGCAATAACACTATCTCATATGCACTATCGAAAGATTCGGCAAATGCAATGCAAATTTAAAACGTGTGCTTTCTAATGCCCTTTCGAAAGATGGAAGGTAAATTAGCTTATCACAATTCTCATGTGATATCTACTGAAAATTTCAGTTAGAATTTGATTAAAAATTTGGAAGGAATGGAAAGAAAAAAGTCTGACAGAGGGGAAGAAAACAAAAAATAAACGAGCATTAATAAAAAAAAAATTTACTTCGAGAAACTTAAAAATATAAATTTTAAAAAAATTATATTTTTTTTTGTGTTCTCAAAAAATAAACTCTTTCTTTTTCTTCCAAATACCAAATAAAGCAACTTTTTTATTAAAAAAAACACTGTAGCTGCTACAGTGTAAATGCACCGAGTCAATGATGCTGCACAATTTTTATTATACTACTTTGTTTTTTTTTTCTTTTCAAAGAAAAAAATACACAAATTAAAAAAATTAATTATTGTTAAAATAAATTTTTAAACTTACTTATTTGTCTTTTATTAGTAGATTTTATTTATTTATTTTTTTAAACTTTTGAGCTACTTAAATAGTATAAATATTTCAAAACTCTTGTTAACTAATAATTTTTTAGGCACATATTAAAAAATTGAAAGTGATTTTTTATTAAAAAATATTTTAGTCTACACTGAAATTACAAAAAGAAATTAATAAAATCTTCATAATTTTTTTAGTTTTAATGTTTTAATCAGTATTTTAAGGACACTGATTAATATTTGCATATTCTAAACAAACAAAAGAATATTAGTGAAAGAATAATAATTAATATTGTTTTGAACTTTTATATAAATAGATAAATAAAAAATTATTGTTTTTTTCTCTAAACAAGTAAATAAAAAATAATATATAAATATAAATTATACATATAGATGAGTAGATTTACTTTCTCAATAAAAAATTAGGATATAAAATGTTTCCAAATTCTAACTTAAAATGTACTTCTCAATAAAAATTATTATATTATTTAAATATTTCTTTAGTGTTTAAATCAACTTAGAATTTGATCATTCAATTGTACAAATATTAATATATTGGTATTTCATTTATAAAATATCAAAGTAGTATTTAGAATGACAAAAAGTGTTATTAAATGATCAATTAATTTTATATCATCCAGAGATTCAAAATAAAATGTGATCCGAACTATACCTTTATTGATCCAAGAGGAAAAGCCAACTCATATTTGATTGTTTGGCTTTGTAATACTTGGATCTTAGATTCTTAATTTCCTCTCTTTTCAAGCTTCAAATTTTGATTACTTCTCTTTGAAAGTTAGCATGCACTTATTTCATTAGAGACTTTTATCATCACCATTACTTCATGATAGTTATCCATACTAAAACTGTCATTCTAGTTGTGACTTTAATTAAATTTCCTAAAAAAAAAAGAAGTAATATGTAATTCCCACAAAAGAGGGAAAAAAGAAAAAAGAAAAAAGAAAAAAGCTGAGAAATAAACGCGTTTGTAATATTCACGAAGTTGAGGGAGGGTTAGTTGGGTGTGGATGAGCTCCTTTTTCTTCGGTGGGTGTCGAGAAAGAGCAGAATAGATAATAGAAAGAAACGAGAGAGAGAGAGAGAGAGAGAGAGAGAGAGAGAGTTTTGAGTTTGAGGTCACTCGCTCACTCCCAACGATGACTGATCATTAACGCCTTTTTCTTCTTCAGTTATCCCAAACAAGCCTTCTTCTTTCTCTATCCTCTGTTCTCTACCACCAAATACAAACACAAACACAAACACAAACACAAAACCCTATCACCACACACTTCACTTTCTTCGATCTCTAGATCTAACCTTGTTGCATCACACAACTATTCTTCTGTTCCCTCTGCAACTTAGTACTGCTCTTACCAATAACCCTGTGCTCTTCTATTATTTATTGATTCACTTGTTTTGTTATTTTTATTTTTATTTCCAGGTGTTTTTTATTCTCGAATTTTAATGTTTGAACTTTGAAATTGATTGGTGACAATAGCACAGAAACGTGACGTGGTATATGCATAGGTCTAGTAGTATTTGTGTAGAGGTGAAAAAGGGTTTGTGTGAATTTGTGGGGCAGTTGGAGCATCCATTTGTGGATGTGAAGGAATTGGTGGTTGTTTTGGGGTGAAATGAGGGATGCTATCAAGGTTGATGGACTTTCTGACTGCCTGCTGGCGCCGAAGATCCTCCGACAAGGGTTCCGATGTGTCGGGGCGGAAGGAGGGGTTGCTGTGGTACAAGGATGCCGGGCAGCACTTGTTTGGTGAATACTCAATGGCTGTTGTTCAGGCCAACAACTTGCTTGAGGATCAGAGCCAGCTTGAGTCTGGTCCTCTTAGCTTGCTTGATACTGGTCCTTATGGTACTTTTGTTGGCGTGTATGATGGTCACGGCGGACCCGAGACGTCGCGTTACATTTGTGATAATCTCTTCCAACATTTAAAACGTAATGGCATTTTAGTTTTTGATTTTCATGATATGATGATTTTACATGTTTTGTAGAGATTCATAGGTGTTCTGTGCCATTGAGTTGAATGTGTATCATGTCAGGGTGTTGGCTATATCATTTTTAAATTTAGTTAAAGTGGTGATATTGATGGCCTGAAAATTTGATGTGGTACATTTTCAATAATATCGAGCAAGAAAATTCTCTTGCTTGCCCTAGGAGCACCTAAGAATTTCTCTTGTATTCAGTGTTTCTCCTGAACATTTGTATTGATATGTGTGCGTGTGCATGTGTGTGTATTTTTTCAAGGATTTGCATCTGAGCAGAAGTCCATGTCTGTGGAGGTTATTCGAAAGGCGTACCAAGCCACGGAAGAAGGTTTTCTGTCATTGGTTACTAAACAGTGGCCTATGAATCCCCAAATTGCTGCTGTGGGATCTTGTTGTTTGGTTGGTGTGATTTGTGGTGGTGCCCTATATATTGCTAACCTTGGTGATTCTCGTGCTGTGCTTGGGCGGGTTGTCAGAGCAACTGGGGATGTTTTGGCAATCCAGCTTTCATCGGAGCATAATGTGGGCATAGAATCTGTGAGACAAGAGATGCATTCTTTGCATCCAGATGACTCGAAAATTGTGGTTCTAAAGCACAACGTTTGGCGGGTAAAGGGTCTGATACAGGTAAGTTTTAAAAATGAATCTTGGTGTTTGGTATTTTTAACAAGACAATTAGGTAGTATCTCATTTTCCCAAATTCTTCTGTCCTTTTTTTTTGGAAAGTTAAAACTATAATTTAATTTCTTTTTTCATTCTATCACAAAACTTGATATGAAGTGTTATTAGACTACGTGTTGTCAATATTCTTTTTTTTTTTTTTTTGTATATGGAATATATGCATATCTAAATCATGTCTTCTATGTCTGTTTTAATTTTTTATAATTACTTTTTTTATCATGGGATGGGTAGATTGACGTCTCTTCACAGTTGGTGCATGTTACATAGGCTTTGTTGTCTTGTACAGGAGTTATTGTAACGTTTTATTTATTTAATTATTTATTTTGCTGTTTTAGTAATTTTTTTAAGTCATTTGTCTTCTTGTTGGCAAATATAATATATAAAGTGATTTTTAATTTAGTGATGAGATTGAAAATGTGTTTTGCTTAAATGCCAAGTACAGAAATATTGTCTCAACATTGCTAATTGTATAATTGGAGAACAGGTTTAATCTTTGGGTGTGAGCTTGTATTGAAATATAATATTGTAGCTTTGTGTAGCCCATTTTTGGTATAAAGAATTGTCATATTACAAATTTACAATATTATTAAGTTCTTATATAAGCTAAAATATTAGGGTTATTAACATGTTAGTGCGTTCTGTTATGTTCGTAGTTTTGTCGGCTGGGCTTGTGCTATACTAATATATCTAGGAATCATTGGTTTTCTTCTTCCTAATAAATTAATGCTGCAAAACTATAAAAATTTGTCAGAATTTTGACAGAATTCTGCTAAATTCAATTCAAGAATGGTTGTTGGATGAAGTAAAGTGGTAGGGGCAAGTTATCTAATGTTAAAAATTCTAGCTTATTTTGGCATTTTCTTTATCTAATGTATCATATCATATGAATATCAGTCATATATGTTCTGTCTCCTCTCTTCTTTTCCGTCAAACCCCCATAATTTCAACATGGTATTAGAGTTCTACCATCCGTGTTGACCTAATACCCGTCACTATTGTGCTGCTGCCTTCTGGGCACCCAAAATCTGAAACTCTTTGTCCTTATCCAGTGATTCTACTTGCATTTATTTTGCTGTTTGTCTCTGTTTGGTTATGCATCACTTTAGTCGTTTAGTTCATCTCAACTCCATCTTCTGTTTGTCTCTATTAGGGATATTATTTGTATACTGTTTAGCTCTGTAGTTGTGTATTCCCTTCTACCGACAAGCTATTGGATTGAGTCAATTCGACTAGTTCTTAAACAAATTCAAGCCTGAATCAGTTCTCTGCATTTCTGACATTTTCTGTGGTTTTTGTGTTTCTGAATTGAAATTTGAGGTTAGTATTGCTGTTTGAAGATTCCAAGTGCCTTTATTAGTGAATTTATTGAAGTTTGGGCCTAAGGTTGCCTCCCAGGTAATTCTTACTACCTGTCTTTCCATTGTGTGTCTCATCCTCCTTGGCTGAGGCCATGCAGCATTCAAAGTACTTGTATGGTTGTTCATCATTCCAGCTATCTTGTTGAGCTGTCTTTCAAACTATGCTCAATTTTGTGCATTGCTTTTCAGCATTTCTTTATCAGTACTTATGACAGCTCATTTTATAGAGTTATCTTTCCAATGGTTTATTGAACCCACTTTATATTTTTAGGTTGTTGTCTTTAAGTGTTTATTTGTAACAAGCTAAAGACCTTGTAAGCTTTAGCTTGAAGAGGAGTGCTAGAATATTAGGGTTGTTCATGTGTTAAGAATCATGTAATGTTTGTAGTCTTATTGGATTGTATTTGTGCTAGTTGTACTACACTAGTGCCTGACCCTTGATTAATAGTGTGAGTGTGGATAGCTGTTAGTTTTTAATACGTGCTAATGACTTGATACAGATAAGCATTTTGAAAAAAAGGAGAAAACTAGTCATAAAAGTGTTTTTTTAGGTTAAATTATAATAACTATCTTTCGGTTTTAGTCCTTATATGAAAAACCTCTATATTTTGGTCCTTATACAATTTTTTGACAAATTAGAACTACCATTTATTAAAGTTACAACAGCGTTAGTGTATTTTTCATGTAGGGACCAAAACCAAAAATGATATAAGGATTACAATGAAAAACAGTGTCAAGCATAGGGATAAAATTTGACGCTATTCTAACTTTGATGAGTGGTAGGGAATAATCAGTAAATGATTTTTCATATAAGAACAAAAATGTATATTTTTATCATTTTGGGATTAAAATGAAAAATTGTAAAGTGTAGGGACCAGATTTATAACTAAATAAGTTTTTTAAAGCTTATCCTGATGCACCTTTTATCCATGTGAATGGCACATGAGCTTTTAAAACTATGCTTGTCTTTAGGCATATTGCTTATTTGGAGTGAATATAAGGCCATGTTAGCTAGTTTTTATAAGGAGTATTCTGGCTCAGGAGTGGACATTTGTGGACAGCCCAACATTCAAATTGGATAAGCTTTGATACCATATTAAAAAACTTGAACTTAACTCACTCCTAAAAGCTATCTCATAGGAGGAGGACAACCTTAGCTGTTATAAGGAGTATCTTGGCTCTAGTCCTGGCCATTGTGGGACGTCTTAACAGGCACAAATCATAATGATAACTCAACAATCATTGCATCTTAAGAAAAACATGAAATTATGTATTTCTAGATTTTCTGGATGCTTGGTGGCTGTTGGTCACTGAAATGCACAACAATTGATGGAAAGGTTTTATTGCTAGAGCGCAATTTGGTGGTCTGATAATGTTATGTGATCTTGCTACACATTGATGTTCATCTTTTAGATATCCAGATGAAAATGGTGTTAGAAATGTTATTGTGAGGTAGGGTTGGTCTGGGGTTACATGTTATTTGAGGTGTTGAAAAGATGCTTTGGTTTTCTTGAATTTGGGCTTGGCGTAACTCAATCTCAAAGGTTAGCTTGTGAGGTGAGAATTGTCTAAGCCTTGATAAGCTTTACTTAAGCTATATCTGTAGTTTATATTGGATCACAACAGGTTTCTCCTAATTAGGAAAAAGAAAACAAGAGAAACGTATCTCATTTAAATGAACTTAATGTGAATTATATTCATTTTGAGCTAATCAAGGATATTTGCCTTCATAACCTTGGCAGTTGACATCCTCCTATTCCTTAAGCATGGTGCATGTATTCACAACTTCACATTGTGGGCATGGTTGTTAAACTCTTGATTTAACTTGTAAATTCGTATAAGTTTACAATCAGATAAGGAAATTGTGTCAAAATCGCGTGTAAACTCGTTTTTGGATAAATTCAGGTGAACAAGGGTAAACTCGTGAGTTTACACCCAATTTTATGAGTTTAACAAAAAGGCAAAATCACAGTTTTTTTCACCAAAATAACACCATTTGGAATGAGAGCACCAGTTTTCTTCCCTCTCTGCAAGTTGTGAAACATCAAATTTATAACTATGGTACCAAAATCACATTATTGGCTGTTTAAGTATGATTTTTTCACCAAAATAAAACCATTTGGAATGACAACAACACTTTTCTTCCCTCTTCGCAAGTTGTGAAACATCACATTTATAATTATGGCACCAAAATCATATTATTGGCTATTTAAGTATGATTTTTTCACCAAAATAACACCATATGGAATGACAGCACCACTTTTTTTTTCCCTCTCCGCAAGTTGTGAAATTTCACATTTATAACTATGGCACCAAAATCACATTATCATCGTATGATTTGACTATTTAAGTATGATTTTAACTTTATTATTAAACTTTATTTCATTATTATGAGTTTTTAAATATTATCTTTACATAAGGTAAACTCTTACAAGTTTACGGACACTCCAGGATTTTACGTAAATTCTCAAGTTTAATTACCTTGATTGTGAGTGAAACTTGTTTATTTGGATCAAGATTTGATATTTGAATCATTTGTATGGATTAATTACAAGAAGATGTAGCAGTGTTGACAATGGTGTCAGTAGGCACAGTTTTTTTTTTTTTTTCCTCAACCTTGCCGTGGCCCACAGTTAAGAGTATTTTAAAATATATTTAATTATTTATACAATCTTCAAATTACTATCTTAAAACTAATCTATCTAATATCTGATATAAACTGAAAGATATGCCATGGTAAGTGTTGAACCAGTGAAGATAAATTAATATAAGTGACTTCATTAGTAAAAAAGATAAGCATTAATGTTTGTTTAGATAAGTAGTGCAGTGTGAGTTAATGCCTAAACCTGCACCTGTTCAGTTCCATAGCCAGCTTGTGGTGAAATTTCCAATGCTAAGATGTAGCTTTACTATGCTTTTTAGTTGTAGGCTTTATTGAGGCTTGATTCAAAGATCTTCCAGCATAGCAAATGAAAGAAACGTACATAAAGGATGCTAATTTCCAGTGCATTTGATTTCCTTATGATAGTAATTATTTAGAGTTATGTATAGTACAACATAGTTATGAAAATTTTATGTGGCAGGTTTCTAGATCCATTGGTGATGTATACCTAAAAAAGGCAGAATTCAACAAGGAACCATTGTATGCCAAGTTTCGTCTTCGGGAAACTTTTAAAAGACCCATTTTGAGCTCTGATCCATCAATTTCCATTCATGAGCTTCAAGAACATGATCAATTTCTCATATTTGCCTCTGATGGTCTTTGGGAACACCTTAGCAATCAGAATGCTGTTGATATAGTTCAAAATCACCCGCACAATGTAAGATAATTGTACTATGGTTTCAATTTTTTATGTTTTTATTGCTCAGTTACTATAGTTTTGTTCAGTGATGACTTGTTTGCCCCTTTTCATTTCAGTAAGGTTCAAATGAGTTTATTTTTGAATTACTCAGATTGGATCATATAGCGTTTTACTCACCTTGCTTTTCCTTGCACTAACATGTCATTACTGTTTTTGTTTCGGTCATGCTAATGTGTTCTCATGTAAATGATACTGATTACAGTCTTAGAAGTTAAAATGGAGAGGCCCTTTATTTGTTTTGTAGAAAAGCAAAAGCTGTGACATAAATTGCTTATGATGCACAATTTTGATGAAACATTTATATTTTAACAGAGAATAAGCACTTAAAATAGTAGGTTCTGAGAGTAAGTGATAGATGTTGGCATTACTGGATTTTTGTCTTGCAGGGAATTGCTAGGAGGCTCATCAAAGCTGCTTTGCAGGAAGCAGCAAAAAAGAGAGAGATGAGGTACTCTGATTTGAAGAAAATCGATCGCGGTGTCCGCCGGCATTTCCATGATGACATCACTGTCGTAGTTGTATTTCTTGACTCCAATCTTGTCAGCAGAGCCAGCTCTGTAAGAGGTCCTCCATTATCAGTGAGAGGAGGCGGTGTTCCCCTACCTTCAAGAACTTTAGCTCCTGAACTTAGTTCAGGTTGATGAACCTGGCTGTATGATCTGTTACTTTTGTATCTAGTGTTGTACCCTTAGCAGACATTGAGCTCTGGTGACCCATCAGAATGTATATCCAATTTAACAAAGATTCAGAAAACAGTTGGTCAAGTAATACAATGTAACAAGTAACTTGGGGTATGTAGCTTGTCTGAGTAAATCATCATGGAAAAAGAGCACCAAAGCCAAAGGTGACCTTGAATATTTGATCATTAAGAGGCAATTATGTTTGCATTTCTTGTTTTTCTCATCCAACGTGGAGTGATTTCTGTAAGTTGTTCTTGCTCTCCTTTGAATGCATAACCAGTAGGGCTGGGCAAAAAACCTTGTTATGCAGGTCTAATCCATAATCAAAGCCAAACTATTTTTAAACAATTGGTCACTATTAAACTTGGTTTCTTGCACAAAATGGTTTTTGACTGGATTAATTTGGTAAATCCACTTTCCCAAACCGAATTTTCCTTTAGTCATCCAAAACTTGTTGATTGTGCGAGGAGCTGAGCCAGTGAGTGAGAGCAATAATGTGTTCTTAGTGTCTTTGTCTCTTCAATCGTGTACTGTGAAGTTAGAACACAAACCCTAATACGATTTCCCACTCTCTTTCCTTTGATTCAATCCTTAAATCAAAATTTACGTGTGCATTGGTGAGTCTTCTGTCTGGAAATTTCATATGAAGTACTTGTTTATTTGTTTGCATAGGATGCTACATGTTTTGTTAACATTTTCTCTTTGCAATGTGCAGTGTTCCTGATCTCTGTTCAAGTTTAACCATAGCTCTGTGTTCCTGATATAGTTTTGTTCGGGTCCCTTTGCTCATTGTGTTTCCAGGTGTGTTGTGTTTTTGCTTCTTGTTTTTAGTCGTTTAGATTTTATTGGTTTAACTGCAATGATTGAAAGGTGGGAATAAAAGAAGAATTAGTATTATGTTATCCTAAAAAAATATTAATATTTATCTTTGTGTATTATCAATATTTTTCTAGAGAACAACTAGGTGAAGGGAATCTAAAGCATACACTAACTTAAAATGCAAATGCTAAAAAATTGTGAATGGAGAGATAAAAGCAGATTTGTAGTTATTCTGGCTGTTGCGATCTGAATTTGAGGATAAATGCTAGTGTTAAGATGAATTTTTGGACAATCTATGGTTAATTAGAGGAAGCATTCAGAAGATTCAAAGGCTAAACTCTAGCGATTTGAAGACCCTTAACAACTTCAACAAAAATAATGACAGATAACAAAGAAGAACAAAAATCAAATCAACTCAACCTCACACTGAAACTAATGATTGCAAAGGTGAAAGAGAAACAAAGTAATTGAGGATAGAAGTGATACAATACAACAAAGCGTATTGAAAACTAACCTGTGTGAGGAATTCTAAAAACTTATACAGCAGAATGGACAACGAATTGAGTATAAAGGGAACCAAATGTTCACCTGAAGAAATGTAGAAAAGCACTAAAGCATATGCATGAAGACAACATGTGAGACTAAATTGTAAATTAAAGGGTTGAATTGAATTTATACTATTTGGGAAATTCTATTAGATCACTGAGTAATTAAATATGATGAGTATCACAAGAGTACAACAAAAAAAAAAGAGGAGGATATAAATCTTTGCGGTTTAAAGATTATATAGTCTCTCAAAATAATACTAATTTGAATTGTATCAGTCTATATTTCGTCTAAACTTCAATACAAATATTGTTTGATAAATTCTTTACTAAATGAGCAATGTTTTCATCCTTTCCTATTCTCAGTTTCGCTCATTTGTTTCTTTTATTAAATTCTTTCTTTTCCATGACCTATATTGACTGAAGTTGGAAGAAAGGAATTAATAAAAAGGAAAAAGAAAGGAAGAAGAAGAAGAAGCTAACAATGAGATTAGAATGAAGAAGTTGCTCTAATTATCTCCTTTTCTCCTAGTCCCGATTATGTACATATACTATATAAAATCGTAATGAATATAGGAAAAGGAGAGATGAATGTAATTCACTTAAGGTTGTATCTTATATGGTCTCATTCTCCTTGTATTTTCCTCAGATTGTTCTTGTCAATGTCAATACTAATACTATTATTTTCTAGGCACCTTAAGTCTCTGCTCTTGAAGGAAAAACTGTCCATATCAATATAGAATTTCTGAAATCCAACATTATCTATACTAACAAAACTTTGTGAACAATCATTGTGTTCTACTGGTCCTTGGGTTTTTGAATCCGTTGATTGCTGTGATGAGCCATTTGATCTAAGGAATCCTTTCGAAGGTTTCTTGTTATTGAAGCTATCAGCTGAGTAGAGGGCTTGCTCTAGTTCTTGACACACCTGGGTCATTGTGGGACGATGTTTTGGTTCTTCAACCACACATCTTAAAGCAAGTTTCCCCATCTTCAGCATAACTTTCGTATTGCATGTCTCACTTTGACATAGTAGATTTGCATCCATGATTTCTTCAACGTTACCCTTCTCTAAGCTTGGCCTTGCCTGTATGACATAACAGGTAATTATTATGAGATCTTAGTTTTTGACAATTTGACAAATTGGATAGAAATAAAACATAAAGTAAATCTTTGGTGTCTGGATAGGAATAGACCTTCATATTAGTCCTCAATATAGTAAGGTCATATTAGTGTTTAAGATTTTAAGAATCCTTTGTTTGTTTTTGACTTTGTTAAAGATAATTCATTTTAGTCTTATTTTACCTTATTTTTCACCATCTTTTAATACCAAAAAAGGGGACTGAAGTGAATGTCATTTAACAAAGTTAGAGACTAATGGATGGTTTTTAAATTCTTCGGAATTAAAATATTTGACCCATACAATTTAGCAGTAATTTTAGTGATCTTCTATGAGGTTGGGGGTTAATTACACTAATACCCTTTTTGTTTGGAAAATTGCACTTGAGTCTTTTGCTTTGTAATTTTTAAGGAGACGTGTGTATGTTTTGTACATAAAATCAGGGAGGAATGTGGAATTTCTTTTAAAAGAGGACGTAAAAGCAAATAGTATGTAAAACAAGGAAGGTAACTTTAATTTTTCATTCAAGAAGGGTATCAGTGTAACTAATGTTAACTTCTTGAGATGTCGCTATAATTATCCCTATAAGGAAGAGGGAGGGTCTTTTGCATTGCTTACCCAGTCAATAATATGTTGATTACTTTGGTTTTCAGTGGTATCCACCACAGGTCTAGCCGAAACAAGTTGCAAAAGTATGACACCAAAGCTATAAACATCGCAAAATTTGGTCAAATGAAAGCTCGAGCAATAGGCAGGGTCAAGGTACCCTGGTGTCCCTTTAATTTGGCTGCTGACGTGTGATTGATCACCAGTAGGCCCTGATTTTACTAGCCCAAAATCTGAAACCTTGGCCTCAAAACCTTCCCCTAATAGGATGTTACTTGGTTTGATGTCACGATGAATTATGCTTGGTTTCACCCCTTCATGCAAATAAGCTATGCCTATAAAATGTGCCAAGCAATTCTACGTTAATAAAAGATTTTTTGTTAGGTTACCTGGGGACTATCATTTTAAGGATTTACCTCTTGCTGCTCCTATTGCTATTTTCACTCTTTGCTTCCAAGTTAAGCTACTCCTGTTTCCTATAAAAGCCAATATTCATAATCATACATTAGTAGTGTTACAAAAGCCAACACTCACTCGAATGAATTAGAGCATGTTTGTTTCCCTTTTTAAAAACAGTTTTCTGTTTTTAAAAATAAAATATAATAAAATAAAAACAGAAAACTGTTTTTAAAAAGGGAAACCAACATACTTTTAGTACTGTTGGTTCTTTAAGGTAATAGCAACACCTTTTTAATCAGGTGATCTATGTTTTAATTCTTGGTGCCTTCTTTCTTCATGATTCATGTACAAAGAAGCAAGTTGGTGGAAAAAAAGATGAGGCTACACATAATAATAGCTTATTTTAAGGTTGGTTGGCTTAACAATTATAGTGAACGAGATGTTATTTCCACACACTGTTTCTTCTTACATTATCCCTACACTAACAAAAATAGTGTGAAAAAGTAAGCTCGTTAATAGTAAATTAGTAATATAGTATGCTTTAAGAAGGATAGACAGTAAACTTACCCATAATGTACTCGAGCAGTGAACCATTAGGTACATATTCATAGACTAGTATTTTAGCTCCTCCTCGTTCTGATCAAGACATGATTAGGCCATGTTAGGATGAAATTGTGTTGGAATAACTCCTTCACAATGTTGAGAATTGCTTATACATAGAAATACAAGCCACCAAAGCAACATGCTTTTACAATGAATATGAATAAAATTGATATTAAGAACATCGACAGAGACAATTGTCCTTTTTAACTCCTTTTTTACTGCACAATTATGAGAGAACTTTTGCATGTCATTTTTCACCTGGTTCTTCACAATATCCAACTAGGCCAATAAGATTCCTGTGCTTTACTGCTGAAAGGAGCCTAACTTCTGCCAACAAGAACAAAGAAAAGAATTGTCACATATATAATAGATTTAAATTCTTTCTGTGTGAGTTGAGAGGAGGATTGGCCCGAATCAAACTAGCAGATATATCTTCATTGATGCTGACCATTTCTGAATTCCTCCACACTTAAGAATGATTCAGAATGGGCTCTCTTAATGGCCAGTGTTCCTTCTAAATCAAAGGTTCCCTTGTAGACATTTCCAAATGCACCAGAACCCAACAAGCAATCTTGGCTAAAATTTTTGGTAGCCCTCTCTAGTTCTTCAAAATCAAAACGCCTTAGCGATATTTTGTCATATTTAAAGCTTTTATACTCCTTTCCTGCATTAATAATTTGCCGAAAAATTGAAGATTCAGTACCACCTTAGGTGAATGAAATAATTGGGTTTACGAATTTCTGTAATTGTTTTAGTTCTTAATTGCTAATGGATCTGGTTGATGTTTTTTTCATTTAGCACTTGCTTTTTATGGATAGCGATAGCTTATGACTTGTAGAAGCTTATTTTAAGAAGCTTTTTTGTATAACTTATCAAAATAAATTAGTTTTAACTCATCCAAAAAAGTTTCATAGTTAAATTTATGGTATAAGCTATCATTTATAAAGAGCTTATTGAATAAGTACTTAAGTTACGGATCACGATGCACTCTTACTTGCATGTACAAATGCAGCTCACCTTTCGAAGTCTTACTTTGCTTAAGAAATGGAATGACCCTTCTCCTGAGGAGGCAATACAGTAAGGTCACTGCCATTGCTGTTAAAATGCCAGCAATAAATTCCAGCAACATATTATGTGCAGATCCACTCTTATTTTTCAAAGATGATTGTGCTGCTGCAGGTGGTGAAGCCTGTAACCTTCAAAATTTGCAACCTTAAGTATGAATATGATTTTCTTCTTTCCAAAACTACAGATTTTGACATCGCATTTGCTAGCTTTAATTTACGTAGTAGATAGTTGCATCATGTTTTTTTAAAGGGCATTCTCAGTTTCGTTTACTTGGTCATGTCTTAGGACGGCATATAAGCCAAGAAATTCTCGTTATGTAGTGGTGAGAGGAATAATTTATCACAAAATATCCACTATTAACACCAACAAACAGTGAACAAAACAAACGATAAGTTATTATTGGCTAAAATATTGACTATAACAGCTTTTAATTCATATTAAGATGCAGCGTGGAAGCAGAATTCGAGAGTAATGTAGTGCTATTGAGGAAATAATATTCATTCTCACTTGTCTTTGACATGCTTAAAAGATTAAATAGGCATGCCGGATAGCCTTCTAGATAAGTGTGCCAAGTAATTTATAGGACTGACCAGGTAAAGTTTGTTTGATTAGCCATTTGATAATGTCCTTAAGTGTTTGGTTTGGCCTGCATATTTCGCTTTATTTGTTAACTTAACTAATGTAATTAAACATTTTGATTTATATTAAAATGACAAAAAAGTAATTTTATTGATATGATCTGCGGGTTATTTTCATATACATTAGAAAATATCAAACATGACACGTATCAATGAACATGCCAAAAGGATGTTAAATTTGTCCTAACATGGTTTTCTAGGAAGAATTAAAATATATTGACATACTAGATTAGGTTTTTATGCCGTCTTCTATTATGGTAAATATTAAATAATAAACAATAAAAATTCAATCAAAAGTGAAAACGTTCACTAGTTTTAAAGTTTTATTTAATAACTTTTTATTCAAACAATTATGATAATTTAATAAAAAATAAAAATTTTAATTTTAATTCTTTAACATATGCTTTATCGGGACACATTTTGTTGAACATTAGTTATAAAATTTAGTATTTTAATCTAATTCAATGGAGTTATAAGTTGACATTATAGAATCATTTTATAATTTTTAATAATATTTCTAAATATTGAATAAATAAAGCATTATTAGTGTATTTCATGATCTTAAGATATTAAAATTATCTAATATTGTTCTTAACTACTATTTTATTCTTTTTAAAACATATATCCTTTTATAAAAATGATTTTACTTGAATTTATTTGTTGCTCAAAATAAATAAAGAAATATTAAGTTTAAGTTTTTAACTTTATTTTTAATTTCTTACTAAATGTAATAAGGGAAATTAGGAGTAAAGATATAAATTAGTTAAATATAATTATTTTAAAAATATTTAATAAACTTTTGATTGTTTTACATTGGTTTGATAAGGAGAAACTTTCGAAGTAGCGATGAAATAAGTTGTTTGATGATTGCTTTAAAATTCAACTAGTGACATTTATCTACTTTTTTTTTATAGTGGTTTTATAATGTTTGTTGCAACAGGTTGTAGCCATAATTGCATTTTAAAAACATCTATTAGAATAAAATATTTTATAAAAATAGAAAAATTGTTATTGTCACAATCGGGCGGTCGCAACGGTACGGTAAAAAGCATTTTAAAAAATATCAGAGGAGTTGCCACCAAAGTTTATTTTAAGAAAAATTTAAATATAATACAATCTTTGAAACCAAAAATGAGTTTGTGAGTCATTTACGTGTAGGGAAGATATTAGCACTCTACAACGTTCGTTTAAAAATAGTTACCTAAAATTAGTTGTGCAAATTTATTCTAATTTTGAAAAATATTTATTTAACCCCTAAACATTAATTATTTTATTTAGAAGAAGAAATATTATTTATTGAAATATTATTTGGGTTATTTTAAAAATTATTTTGACTTGACGGGTTCGGTTCCCGCTCCTACGTATCTCCGGGTGCAATGGGGAACTTAAAGCCACGTAGTTCTATATAAAAATTATGAAATTGGTTAATTAAAGTTAAGTTTAGTAAAGAAATTTATTTTAAAATTAAAATTATATTTGTAAAATTATAATATTTAGGATACAAGATAACGCGGTTATACATGTACCTTACGAGAAACAATATAGAAAGTGAAGGAAGATCACACAACTATATTGCAAATCGTTAGAAATATTTTATTCGTAAATAAAGTATTTGAATTTGAATTTTGATTATAATTAATGTTGAAATAGAATTTAAGATAGCGTAAGCTATACATTAATCTCTTATAATTTTTTGACAATCGAAGGTAATGTAAATCATACAACGGTATTTGTATAAATAAGTAAGAAAGTATTTAGTTAAAATATGACTTAAGAAAAATTATAATACGAAATTAATTCCATTTAATGAAAAGAATAAACATATCTAAATTGATTAAAGAAAATAGTTATTTAATGAAAGATTAAATTTTATTTGATAAATTTATATTGCGTGGGACTTAAGGTAACGTTGGTACACAAAAGTTTTAACAATTTAAAGTGTATAAAAGTAGAGACGTTACAAAATAACACTATAAATCGTTGTACTAATATAATAAGAATGTTATAGATGATAGATTTTAATTAATAAAAATAATAATGATAAAATTGATTACTTTAGAAATCGGATAAGATTTTTAATATGTTAATATTGAGTAAAACCTAAAGCAACGTTAGTACACAAAGGTTTTATCAATTTATAATACATGACGGTAGAGTAACTACACATTAATGTTATAAATTGATATACATATTGTATTATCTACTTATTTAATTTTAAATAAATTTTTGTTATAATAATTTTTTTTAATAATTTAGCATAATAATAGAAAAGAATAACACACAAATTTACATAAATATTGATATCATACATATAAATGAATGGCTAAATAAATGAAAAATAAAATAAAATAATATATATATATATATATATATATATATATATATATATATAAAATTTGATTCTTCAATTCATTTATATCTATCTCATATAATAATAATAATAACTAAAAAAAAATATAAAGAATAAAAATATGTTAAAATTTAATTACTAAGTAGCAATAAAACATGAGATGATACATTAAAAAATTATTATTTTATTATTATATACACAATAAAATGTCTAAATTTGTAGTACAAAATAAATGTTCAAATAAAACGTTAAAAGAAATAGAACAAACTTAGGTATAAAATTAATCGCAACTAAAATCTATTTTAATAATGGTACCTAAATACCTAATAATAATGTATATTTTTGAAAAGGAAAAAAACGAATTGAAACATACATGAATTGGATGACAAAACAAGGAGTGTTCGGATGGAAATTTGAAAAGTTAAAATAATCATCCAACATATTTAACGTGTACAAATGGAGGTGAGGATGAGGTACAGACAAACATCAAATCCAAACTAACTTTTTCATTCTTTTACATATTTTTATAGAAAAATGATTAGACTTTATCGTAAAAAAAAAAACTAATATATGAACGTTTAGAGTCACGGGTGCATAACAACTTTCACACAACAACTTTTAATAGAAATGAAAAACACTTATATACCATCGATGCGGAATAAAATCGGAGAGTAAAAAAAAAAAGATCCTTTACTTGGAAGAGGCGTTGCTGTGCGAGAGCTTAAGGAGATAATGGAGTAGAGCTGCAGTGGGTGGGTGATATTAACCTCTGTTAAAGATGATGATTTTTCTTCCTTTTCTTTCTCGGTCTTCCTCTTCAAAATGTTACTCTTTTTTTTTTTGTTTTTTTTGCAAACCAACTTGTTGCTACCTCTTGAAATATTTTCTTTCTTTGAAACCTTGTTTCTTTAAAAAAATTTCCTATTTTTTTTTAAAAACGTCCGAACCCTTCTCTGAAAATCTTTTTTGCTTTGCTTTTTCTCTGAAAAAAAAGAACTCCTCACCACATTTCTTGCTTGAGATTTTATATTGGGTTCATTTAGGGTTTTTACAAAATGCCAAAATCTGAGCCTTTCTCTTTTCATGCATTCAGTCAATTTTGAAACTGGGGTCTCAGACTGCATAGTGCAGGGATACCGGTTCCATGAACCAGTCTCTCCCTTTTTTCAAAATTTTCCATTTCTCTGTAAAATAATTTTATTTTATTTTTATAAATTAAAAAAAATTTGGAAGCCATTCCGAAAATACAAAAATTGGTATTCACAGTTGCCCCTCTTTACTCTGTTCATATCAATTAGAGATATTTTAAAGTTAGAGTTGATGAGAACTGAGTAAAAAAGTGAATCGATTTTTTTTTTTCTGAAACGAACAAGGTGTACAAGGAATACAAAGACAAATATAGTAAACACTCAGCTGTTATGAAATTGTGAAGCGACATTGACTTTTAAAAACAAAGGTTGTCAGGCGGACATTGGGCTTAAACAACAGGATAAAAGGTGGAAAGTGTCAGTCATGTTCTGGACTATGGAAGAGAAGTAAAAAGTGATAGTCAGGTTCTAGGCTTTGACATAGAAGGGAGGTGCCAGTCAGGTTCTAGGCTTTAACGGAAAAGTGAAGCGTGCCAGTCAGGATCTGGACTTGGACAGAAAAGAAAAGGTGCCAGTCAGATTTTGGGCTTTGGCAAAGAAATGAAATGTGCTAGGCAGGTTCTAGGCTTTGACAGAAAACTAAAATGTGTCAGTCAAGTTCTGGACTTTGACAAAAATTTAAAGAGACTTGGACAAGAAAGGTAAAGAAACTCGATCAAGTTTTGGATTGCAAAAGAAAATAAAAGGACAGTTAGACTCTCAACTTTAACAGTAAAAGTAAGACAGAAAAATAAAGAGATCAATCATCTTCTGAATTTGTTGAAAGGTAAAGTATCAAGTCAAATCCTGGACTTGGATTGAACATAAAGGTTGTGAGGCAGATAATGAATTTAAATTAAACTTCAAAAGGTGATAATAGATAAAAACAAATGCATGCTAATGTAATGATGCGATTGCATAAACTGGATGAATGTTATCACTTGGAGTGAAGTTATTGAATGATGAAGTCAAATGCTATTATGAGACTTACTAAATCAAAACAAACTCTCTGTCTTTTTTTTTTTGGAGGGGATAGTAATACTCTTCGGTCAGGATCAATTCTTTCATAAGATCTGAACTGGGTGAGACATGAATCGAATTGGATTGTCATTTAGTTTTGAATTTTCATAAGGAGACAACTTCTTCTGTCACGTTAAACTTATCAAGAGATTCATCAAACTTACTGTGTAAATTTTTTAAGCTTATTATTGTAATCGTATTTTCTTATTACCCTTTTAACAGTTTGCATGTTTTCTTTTAATATATAATTATTGAAATGACAATAAAAATGCTATTGAAGAAGTTGAGTAAACAAAGTGGTGTATATAAGCTGAATGGAAGGTGACTAAAGTCAAAGATAAATATTTTTGGAACATAGGAATGACTGTAATAAAGAAATGGTGAATTTACAAAGAAGACTTACGACATGAGTAACAAAAAAAACAAATACATCAAAGGATCAAAATGACTATGAAAATAGTGAAGTATTATGCCGATTAAGTGACGTCTTCCAGATGAACAGTGCTAATCTCTCATGTAAATTGATCATCCATTAACAAAACTGCTAAAATAAAATTGCCCCAGTATGGTATTTTGAATCCATCTTCCGTTTG